TCGCGCTTACAAGCAAAAATTTTCCCACTTGTATATATGAGATTGAAATAAAATCTCAAAAGAAAATAACTTACTCGGAAGACATATTCACTTCTTCTTCAATTGCACAACTACCTTGGTGATCATCCGACATTTCTAAAGAAACCACAATTTCATGGAAAACCACTACAAGAACACCTTTACGGTATTTAGTAGTGTGCAGGAGAAAACCTTAGTGGTATTATATCACATAAGCTCAAAGTGTTTACCCGTATTTATAACCACAACATCAACAAGTACATCGAAAACACAAAAGAAAGCTTTGTAAACTCGTCGGTAAAATACATATATTGCGACACTGCAATGCGAGCAAATCTACCAAAGTGAACATCTCTAAAATCTACAACTCTCAGCGAGTGATTTCAAAATTTTTGGGCCCCCATGTAAACATTCAAATGTATTTGTTACATTTTGAAGTCTCCGAATTTACCTTCGGGTTTAAACGCAGTATTTGTTTGTCTGTTTGAACCACACGTCAGCAAGAAAAAGGTAAATTAGTATTATCATATGCTTCAATTAACAAACTGCCAACTACCATAAGTTAATTAGAATTACCATACAAGAAACGTACTACCCTAAGAACGTGGGTGTTACGGCAAGTGTATTCTCTAATATTTGGAACTTCCAATTGAACAAACAAGTGTTCAACTTAGCAAGAGGTGCAACTTAGCACCTCAGTGGTCAGGTACAAGCCGTCGAGATTGTTATGCAAATGCACAGATAGATAAAATTTTGTAAACTAAATAGAACAACAAAATACATCTAACAAAAATTATTTAACGTTTTGATGTCCGACACTAATCTCAGAATGGCTAGATCCACTTGACGAGGAAGTGCAGGGATGGGATAACGTATACGCGATTGACAAAGAATGTTCTTTTTTGCAACATCGTAGGCCTAAATTGATTACTGTTGAACACTTTAGTGGATTGCGGCCATTTATGTAACAGGAAGAATAGAGTGTGATTTAAGGAAACTAACCTTGGTAAAAAAATCATCCACCAAACGTAGGTCGTCAAAGAAGGTGAAACTTACACCAGATGTTGTTGGACCATCTCCTTTCAAAACTTCAAGATGTCTATTCCAATCACCGTGTACACTTCGTTGATAATGTTCTTCCAACTCCGTCAGTTTCATTCGCAGTTTTGTCAGCAACCTGCGTACATATATATAATTTATTGTATCTAAAGCTACACATGTGGACCAAGTTCCGCCTTAGACTAGATTAGCTGCCGCCACTTTAATCAGGCCGAAGGACTGCGTTTTGCCAGTTCTTAAACAAAATGTACTTTGAAGCACAATAATATTTTCAGCAAGATAGGCTTCCCAGTTTTCTAATCTTTGACTAACTAATTGATCCCAGTAGGTCCTAGAGAGTTCGTCACTGCTGCTACCGTGGCCTTAGCACACTTTGTGTGGTTCCTTCCTCAAATAAATGGGAAATACTGTGTGATGACAGTACTGCCTGGCGGTGCAAACCAAGTCAAAAGTGGCACTTTATCCAACCGTATCAATCATTCTCGTTTTCCCTGCGGGATGCTTCTCAGAAAAAAAGTACCTGATTGTTCTGCACTCACTCTAGCACTGATGCGAAAAAATATACCTTGTTCTCCAACCAGCAACGGAGCACAAATTTGTTGAAGCTGGCAGCGCCTCTATCATTTTTTCTTGTTCCAGCAATTCCCTTATATCTTCATTAATAGAGTTTGCAGAGATAAGGTTTATTTGGAGAGAGGATATGGCAGAAGAGAGAGCCGCCATTGTGCTCGATGACGTCCTGTTTGACATCTGTAAAAAATTGAAAAGCTCGAAAGTACAAGAAACACAGATAAAATCACATCTATATACTATATAAAACACAATGTCTGTGTGTATGAGTCTGTGGGTTTGTATGTTCCGAATACAAATCTTTGTTTCTGAACCGACCCGGACCCTTCACACACATACACTTTAGAGCATTGCGGAGAGCGTAGGCCAGTGTATCCGGGAAATATCGATTTGATTTTCGCAGTTCTCGCTCTAGATAGCTGAGAGTTGGTACACTGAGGTAAGTTGAAATGTTGATTACAAATATGATAGCCACTTAGAGATTTATCGATTTCCATCGATTTATTGATTTTTTCGCAATTTTCGCTATAGATGACCGAGAGTTGGTACACTGGGGTAAGTTGATATGCTGATTACGAATTTGATATCGTCTTGAAAATTCATCGATCGATTCTATTGATTTATTGATTTTTCGCATTTTTCCTTTTGAGAAGCTGAGAGTTGATGTACTGGGGTATCTTGGTATGCTGATTACGAAACTGATAACCACTTGAAGGTCTATCAATTTATTCCAACAATTTGGCGGTTTTTTGCTTTGAACTACTGGAAATTTGTGAACAGTGGTTTGTTAAAAGGCTGAGAGTATAATTTCATTTGAGTCAATCTTATCGTGGTTTTTTCGTGATGCTACCAATTTATGCAAAGATGTGCTAACATGCCGAACAGTATGACGTAATTTTTTTCAGCCTAGTTTTGCTAAGAGACAATTTTTTTGCTGGAAACCTTTGAATCTACTGGCTTAAAGGACTTCATTATATAATCTCTTTCTCAACCCAACCTAATTCGGGATGCTGATAGTTCTGTCCGTAGTGCAGTTGGCAAAAAAAGTTGATATAACGAGGGCTGTAGACTCCTTCAAGACGCGCCGCAACAGCCTGAAGGTTCTTTTTTCTTGAAGCACATTCCTGCATGCTAAATCCATCGATCTGATGATCTCGTACATACCCACAAACAATCGACACTTCGCAATGCGTCTTACTACATTTCACATTTTTCTCTCAAATTTAACTTTTCCTAAACCAATTACAAGCTTTTGAACCTAGTTCGTTAGCTCCGCGATAATCTCTTAAAAACGAACTGAACGATATTGGTTCTTCATGCTCGACCTTGAATGAATCCTGGCCCTGTCATATACTTGTTTGAGTATTGAGCCGTACCCAAGATTAGTATAGTTTATTAGGCTTAAGTTTCGGTTTGCTCGCCTTCTCAAAGCCTGGGAAGTGAGGAGCAAATGAGATGTACACGCCAAACGTTTTCGCTTGCAGGATAAACTGATAAAGTACAAGTGTTGACTTAACAACCTATGAAAGGCAGCTCATCTTATAATGTTAAGGAAAACAACCATCGTAGGCACACGTCAGCGAATAAAGAGTTCGCCCAAAAAAAGTTTATATGCGGGTGTAGGTCAAAACCCGCACATACATAGAGAATACTTGTGAATTGCTTACTTGTGAAAAAGCGGACAATGTGATTTGCTCCTCAGCCGGAGGACTGTATGTGTTCTGAGGTCATATATCTATTAACATGTAAGTTATGCGGGGAGGAATGCATTGCCGTAATAAACGAACTCGCGCCCTTCCTGGATTTACGCGGGTTTTGACCTACCCCTCGCACATGAACCTCCTCAGAGCATAACTCATTATCCGCTGACGTGTGCCTACGGTGGTCGCGGTTGATTTTCTCAATATCATAAGGTGAGCTGTCTTTCATGGCTTCTAAGTCAACACTTCTACTTTACGAGTTTTTCTTGCAAGCGATGAAATTCGG